TATGTACTCTCTACAAAAGAAAGAAAAAAACAATTGGCTGCACATACTCATTGAACTAAATCAGAAAGCTCTTAATTTGCATTTTGATTTGTGTCCTCACCAAAACTGAGATTATTTGTACTACAGATGTTAATTATGTGAAATAAATATTTGCAGTACTCCAGTTGGGATGTTAATGAGGTTGTGTTGTACAAATGATACACACAAAACTCTGATGATTCGCCTTTTGTTCAAGATAAAATTGTTATTAGCCCAACCAAATCATTCACAACATTCTCCTATAAGCATGTAGTGTTACTGTGCTGATTAGGTTTCCTTCAGCCTCCCTTCAGTAGAATAATGAATAAAGCAGCTTCATTTATAACCTTCATAAATAATCCAGACCTTTGCTGTGAGAACTGACAGTGAACTTAAAGGTCTGGTTGGATTTATGGCGCCCAACAAGAAACCACTTCAGGGTGAAAGTAATGCATCGCTGCTCATGAGTTCAGACGACCTGCAGGCAAATAAACACCTGATGTCCTGACGTTGGCTCAAAATAAACAGATCAACATGAGAACCAAATTACTGTAAACCTATTATAGCTCAGCTAAACTTGTAGACATTATTCATTTTTATTATTAATATAATACCTTAACTAACTAAATATATCAGTCTTTTTTTTCTGCTTGTTCCTGCTTTCAAACGTTATATGCAGATGAAATGACAGCTGGGAGAGATTTTCTTTAAAAATGCAGAGATGACTCGTTTGATTTTTCACCCACCTAACACCGACAGGTACAGATACAAACAGCCTCCCACCTGAGGCCGGCCTCCAGATGCTGCAGGCGTCAATCAACTTTTCAGACAGTTACGAAATGGAGGAGGCTGAGGTCAGAGGTCGGGGCACGGCTCTGAGTTTGGTGTTGGGACCAAGAATGAGGTCTGAGGTCTGGAGGATTTTGTGTGTTTATTTTTGCATAAATATGCTGTGCTATAAAACGTATCATGGTTTCTTGTTTCCTTTTATTATAAACTGATGTCTTACAGACTCAACAACAAGTCGTTAAATTTGATAATCATGTTTGTTTGTCTCTTTCGACTGGGAGGAGGCCCCGGGGAAGACCCAGGACACGCTGGAGAGACTATGTCTTTAGGTTGGCCTGGGAACACCTTGGGTCCCCCCAGAAGAGCTGGAAGAGGTGGTTGTGGAAAGAGATGTCTGGGCCTCCCTGCTCAAGCTGCTGCCCCCGCAACCCGACTTCAGAACAAGCGGAAGATAATGAACAGATGGATGTTTGTTTTAAGCCCAGAGAACTGGCTCAGAGCAGAAGGCCCGTTTGCCTAGTTTACGTCCACATTTCAAAAGTCCAACATCTCTGAAGTTTTCTGGAGGTGAACTCTGCTGACCTGGTTCATAATGCCCTATTTTATCTCATTTCCTCTCCAAGACTAGGGAGGACGTCCCACTTCAGCACATTTAGTAGCTAATTTTTTTAAGTAATGCAATTCATTTTATTTGAGTAAAAAAAAACAGATTGAATTCATAGTTATATTTCTAAAATACTTTAAACATTTATGCACAGTTCACTAAAATGCATATTATACAGTACATTGAATTTGTGGCACTATGGGTGTTAGTGTGCCGTGACATTTGGTAGTGATATTTTATATGAAGTTTACAAAATTGGGATTTTGGCAAAATGGTTGAGAAAGGCCAGTCCTCTTCAGAGCTCAGACGTTCGTCAAAATCAAGCCATCAATCAACAGGTCACAGAAAGTTGGACTTTACTGAACTGGATTTTAATTACATTTAACAGTTTCTACTCAATCACAGTTTAGGTTTTATGATTTTTTTCAAAATATTTTTAAGAAAATGCTCGACTTGTGTTGATGATGTCAAACTTTGAAGTGTCTAAAAAGTGTCACAACTTTCAAAAGCTCTTCGTCCTCCTGCAGGACTTTTCACATACCCATTCACATACAAATTATACATCGAAACAAGTTTAATTCCTCTTCACGCTGTTTCTCTCACTGCAATAGGTTTTCCTTTTATTTTCTCAAGTTTCCTCCTGAGGGTTTCTTTAATTAGTCATATCTCCTACATAAAACAGCATAAAACATAATTCCCATGTGAGACAATCGGGGTATTTATTTAGTCGCTCATGGTTCAGGAATTTTCATCCGACTTGTTTTTCACTATCTCTCTGAAAAGTGCTGTCAGGGAGTGACAGACACAGCTGTGTAGTTACCACGGTGATCATAATGAGCCACTGACAGCAGTTTTGACATGTATTATGCTCATAGTTATTTATATTTCTTAGTGTTTATACACAAAAAAATATAGAAACCCCATTTTAAATTATTACAAAGTTGATTTTAGGCAGCAGCTTCACGGCACCCTTCATGATTTCTCCAGAAATGACCCCAGATTGGGGATATTATCTGAACACAGCAGATCTAAACTGATCAAACCATTTAAGCTGCTTACAATTAGCAAAGTTATATAATCAGAGGTGAAGAGTCAAACACGCCGTGTGTCTAAACAAGAGGAACAGGACATTTACCAGCTGAACATTGTGTTTGACGGGTTCAAAACAAAACAAAAAATACGCTAAATGAACGTGTTCTGCCCTCTTTAAGTTGTTAAACACCATCATGACACTAAACCGAGCCACAAACAGCCGGGTTTGAGTTACAGAGGCACCGGCAGGAGAGAAGCAGCCGGCGCTGTCCTTTCAGCACCACCGCTACAACAAACAACCGACCCCTCCATGGAAAAATCACAAACCAAGCCAACTTTCACCGACTGCAGCTGAAACAAACGTTGCCCTCCTGAGAGAAAATCCACTTTAAAGCCCTCACTGTTCGCCCATGACACGTTTTGTTCCCAGACGAAGTTAATTAAAAGCGGAGGAGCGCTGTTGCTGGCCTACTTACCATCAATCGCCATGATGTTCTGTTTTGGCTTTGACCGAAGTGGGCGGGAAAAACCGAGGAGGACTGAACCACTCAGAGTGAAGCTAAGGGGGGGATCAACTATTAGAACAGTCCAAATATAAGGAGGGAAGGGTGAAAACTAAACGAAACGTCGCAACTTACGTTTGAATTCTAGTTAAATGACATCTGGGACTGACAATAACGTTAAAAGATGGGTAGAAGGTGAGGGGATAATTTACTTTGTGGTACGATCCAGAATTACGATGTACTAATGCGCATGCGTACAACTACACACCACGCCCCAAATACATTGATAGCTATTCTAGTCATTTAGTCCTTAACATCTTTTTTGTTCTCCCTTAAAGAAACTGGTCCAGATGACATGATTTGAACTTTTTTGTTGTCATCTACCTGGATGATTGAGCTTACAAACTTTTTTGTTTGTCCTTAGCATCGACCTTTTTTATTGGCTTTTAAACACAACATACTTATATATTTTATTGGTATTATATATTGTAATAGTGAAATGTTATCAATGGTGTAGGCATAAATGTATCTAGACCACAATGCATCGCAAAATACTTACATTGAGTATGCGCAACATTAACAGGAAAAGGTTCGTAGCTCAGATTTTAAATTAGCTGAATTTATAAAACACATTTAGGAGTGAGTTTGTCCTTGTACTTTTTTTTTTTTAAACAAATAAATTGGAATTTTAAATAATTTAAAATTAACATTGAATAGTGTGTAACTTTCTGATTTTAATCATTGCTAGTATGAAATATTAAAATATCAAGCATGGAGATTCCTCACAGAAAAAGAATGAACACCAACTATGAGACAAATTTGTCAAGGCCAACGATGAGATTATCAGCATGAAGCATGGATAACTGTAATCTAATTTAAATAATTTAATTGTTGGAATGAATTATATTAGTCATATTGCATAACTTTGTCATTGAGCACCTTGTAGAGTAGACATTATCATTATTCAACTCATTAAATGTTGTTTCTTAGTTAAGTGAGATGTTGTGAAAAAAAATGTGAAACTTGTCCAACAATTACTGAGTTTCAATTTGGTGTTCAATATTTGTGACCAGTTGTGGCAAAATATGTCACAAAGTTTTAAATAATGAGTCTTTATTTTACATCCTAAATTTAAAAAAAAAAACTTCTAAATTAAATGTAGTTTGTTAAAATTTGGTGATTTACTGCATCTCCTGGCAACAAGATAGTTTTGTTTACGAGAGCTCCGGTTTGAGAATTTATTTATTGCTCTAAAAACAATGCCATTTCAAACTCCAGCCTTCTCTTTAAAAAGGGGGATTCCAAAGCTTCATAATGACACCCAACATTATACGAAGGGATTTCCCAGCACTACGGCAGTCGGGAGAAAAAAAATGTAAATTAAAAAAAAATTTTTAAAGTATTATTTCTGAAGACATACCTGTAAGAAATTTTCACTTTAAAAAATAGATTAGGGGGGTTATATGCTCTTTTTGTTACTGGGATTATAGGGTGGCGTTCTTTTATGGACTTGTTCTTAAGCAAACCTCAATTATAACAAAAATTTATATTTTCCCAATTTTCGCTCAGCAGCCCGAGGTCATTCTCGTTCATTCTGCCAGCATGAATCAACATTTTTCTCTCGTTCTAACAAGTTATCTTTATTTTCTTCCATTTTCACTTCGCTCCAGGAGCAGTGGCGGCTTCTTCCAGGGTCTCGGCTGTTAATCATCTCCTGATTGCTGATGATGGCTGGAGGAGAAAAAAGGCAGCAGGGTTCTGATTCCTGAGAACCGACTGCTGCCATCAACCACAAGTGTTCTCGTCTGTTCTTCAGAAACGAAGAATGAGCCTCGGCCCACACGCCGTCCATCACAGAAATTAATTTTAGCTTTATACGAGTCTGAATACAGCACGATGCAACAACAACGTTAAGAAAGTGTTTGGTTGAACAGAAACAACAAACATCAGGTCACGTCAGACATAAGATAACACAAAATATTAAAACAGCACACAGCGAGCATCATTGATCATTTGTATATTTTCAGCTGGCATCTTTACCCTCCCAGCTGCACACTCATCTAGTTTGAAGAAAAAAAATAACATTTAAACTGAATCTACTAGAATAATTACAACAAAAACACAAGTGATAATTAAAACAATTTCTCTAGTCTGATTTAAATTGCTCTCTTTGCTGCTGCACTTGACCCATTTCCTGATGAGCTCCATTAAACCTTCATTAGTCTTGATCAACTCAACCTGTAATTGGGCTCATCCCACTATTGTGAGCCAAAGAGGGAAAATACTAGAGCCTGCTTGTGCTGTGCATAAGATTTTAACATATTAAAAAATAAAATCAATATACCGTAATAAAATTGACGTGCTTCTCCAGCTTCTAAAACAAACAAGCAGCTGTTGTATTGTATGGATTCTGAAAAGAAACCTGTTGTTCCGCTGGAAATATAAAACCCATTAAGTTTTATTTTGAGATTCACTTTTTAATTGTTTTTAACTAATGCATTCATCTGGTTGCCATGGATACACACAGCAGTCTGACATCAATCTTCGGCTTTTCAACTATAGATACAAACAAACGACAGAACCGTTTCCGAACTCTGGACTGACTTTCTAGTAGTGGAATCCTTGAAGGAATGCATATCGCTCACCGCTCTTTGAGCTAGAGTGTTACTGCTCGTTGCGACAACTCTCAGCTACTACCACACCAAAGTTTAGCTCCATATCTGTAAAACTAACCAAGCTAAAGTCATCTTTATACTGGATTATGTGCAGCGGCCATCTTGAATTGGGTTGACTCCAAAAGTCAGTCAGTTGTAGACGTCCATCCACTGATTATTTACAGCGAGATCATTCAGCTCCGTCCAGTGGCTGATGAGATATTTTGCTAACGGATTAAGAAGGCTGACACCAACAATTCTTATCAAGGTTTTTAGTTACAAGTATTCAGGATGATCAGCTACTACCGTACCATATTTTAGCTCAATAGCTGTTAAAGTGACAGAGATGTTGATATGTTGGCAAAAATCGATTAGCTGTGGCAGCCATCTTGAATTGAGTTGGGTCCAAAAGTTAAACCAGTTGTAGACTATAGGGTGATAAAGACAGAAACATATAAAAGAAAATGGAAAATATATATGTACAACTTTACAAAGTTTTTAGTTTTAAGGTCATTTTAATATAAATTTAAACTTTAGGTTGAATTGTTCTCAAAGTACAGATTTGGATGAGAAATGTTGGCAATAATGAGTTAAAGTCTGACTGAACAGGATGCGCAAACATAAAAACAGACCGTCTCCATCACCTCTATCTGTCCTTGTTTACTTCGTCCTATTTTTAGCTGCTGGATTCTTCAGAGCGGCTCTTTCCTGTTGTCATAGAAATGGACCGGCTCGTCCATTAGCTGCTCAGATCTCATCCACCAGAGGATGGAGCGCGGCTGCAGGGAGATCAATCACCTCCTGATCATCTGGCTGCTGGAGCAGCTGACAGTGATGTAAACACACAGGTAAGAAGATCAAAACCACCCGAGTTTTACTTTGAGAGGCCGATGTGTGATTTCACAGTACAGTCCTGTCCACAGAGCTGTGACCTTGATAAAAAAGTGACAAACTGACTGCTGCTGTTTTTAACACAAGGTCAAAGCATGAGCAGAAGTTTAAAATAAACAGAATATTATTTTTATAACCAATACTTGTGACCCGGGCCATGCTAGAAAATGAGTCGGATTGAATTCTGGCTCTGTGGTGAAATAAGTGAAAACATTAATTTTTGCTGTAACTGAGATTTGCATAAATATGAATCCATAATGTACAGATAACTCAAAGATTTTTACAGCTTTTATGGTTTTAAATATAGGGCTGTAGTTCCCAATGACATCATTCCAAGCCAGTAAAAACTGTTTTCAAACCAGCTTGTGTCCAGGCTGGGAAAAAAAAATTCCCCGATTTCAAACTACATATAATTTTGAAGCTTTTGAGATAAGAGAATCTGAATAAAATAATTTTTAAAATGTCATCATTGTGATGTATATTTGCAATATCATGATATTGCAAAACAAGGATTGGTGAAATGGACACAGAGCTGCTTTGAGACGCTCTTGTCTTTATTTTGACATCTGATAAAAAAAATAAAAAAAATCACACACACAACAAAACTTGCAGCTCGCCCGCCAATTAAATGGTTCTACTTCACTTCAAACTCGGATCCTCTACTAGAGGCCTGGGAGTTTGAGGATTCTGCTCTTTATCTTAGCTGTTCCTAGGACTGCACTCTTCTGGACAGAGTTGTTCCTGAGATCTGTTGGAGCCACTCTTCCCTGGGGGGTCACAGCACCAAGTGCTCCAATGACCACTGAGACTGCTGACACGTTGACTCTCCAAAACTTCTGCATTTCCTCTTACAGCCCTTGCCATTTCTCCAGCTTCTTGTGCTCCTTCTGCCTGGTGTTACAGTCACAAGGGATTGCTACATCTATCACTACGTCCTTCTTCACTTGCTTGTCCAACGCCACAATGTCCGTTTGGCTAGAGAGGGCTGGACTGAAGGACAGCACAGAGGCACTAATCATGGCAGCTCAAAAACAGAACCTCAGCACAAGAGCAATAGAGGCTGGGGACGACCATACCAGACAAGACTCTTGCAGACTGTGCAAAGATGCCCCTACGGCAATCCAACACATGCAGCATTACATAATGCAGGGTGTAATATCCAGGCAGCCAAAACATACATGGAGCACCATAACCAAGTGGCTGGAGCCTATACAGGAACATCTGTGCCAAGTATAGACTAGAGGTCCCACAGTCAAAGTGGAAGACTCCACTAAGGATGGTGCAGTGCAGAAAGGTTAAGATACTGTGGGACTTCCAGATCCAGACTGATAAACAGTTGATGTCTAACCATTCAGCTGGCTCTTCAGGACCTAACTTACTTTCTGTAGGTACTTGGTTGTAGCTGACTTTCATGCAGTCTCATCATGATCGCCATTTGCCTGTGGGATTCCAAGATATTTGTAGCTGTCCTGAACATCTGCAATGTTGCCTTCAGGCAGTTCAACCCCTTCAGTTGTGATCACCTTGCCTCTCTAGCATACTGTTCGACTGCATTTATCCAGTCTGAATGACATTCCAATGGGTTTGGGGTTCTGTTTATTGCATTTATGATTCAATGGAATAAAATAAGCACATTTAAAAAGGTAAAAGATCATTGTAATACTTGTTTTATTTACATAATGACTTTAACTGCTGGATGTCCAGCCCATGAGAGCTCTGCTGGCTTTCAGTAGCTGTGCCCCACTGAGCAGTTTAGTTGAATAGTTCTGATCTAAAGACTATAAAATATCAAGGTTGTTTTAAACAAACTGTGACGCCACCTTGTGGGGAAAATCAAACCGTTTGTAAACATTAAAAAAATAATAAATAAAAAAAATAAACCCGTTTAAGTTCGACTGGTTTTGTCTCAATGCAGAACCTTTGAAACACGTTTTTCAGGACGTTCAGGATTAAATATCCTAATGCGCTGGTCTCTGGTGTTCCACAAACTAGATTGGTTTAAATAATTTTATTCAGGACGGTCTGATTTTTTTTTTTTTTACCTTAAAGTTTTTTTGTGTTACTCTCAGCTTGAACAGATAGGCTCTAAAGTTTTAAGTTATTGAATAATCTGCAATCTGAAACAATAATCTGCTGCAAGAATTTATTCAAATTAACTCATGAATATTCATGTATTATTAAAACAATAAAAATTTAAACATTTGTATTAATATCAGATATTAAAATAAGCAAATGTTTCCCTTCAGAAATAGATTATTTTGGCTCTGAGCTCACAGAGTGTTTGTTTTCCAGGTGTCACACACCTGTACAGGTGTTTTAACACTGCAGTTTCTGTTTCAGGACGCTCAGCTGCTCCACGTTGACGCTGCTGCCGCCGCACACGATCACCAGCAGGGGGCCCTGTAGAGCCGGCAGCCGACCTAAGAATAAAAAGTTCCTGACTGACATGTCTCAAACAGGAGGACGATTAATGAAACATGGAGCTGAAAGATGAAGACTCCGGTGTTACCTTCATCCTGTAGTCTGGGTATGAGTCTGCTGTAAACGGCTGCTAAAGACGCTCCACAGGCCATCTCCACCAACACGCGCTCCTCGTCTGCAGAACCACCAGAACACACGGCTCAACAAACCAGAACTAAAAGAGCTTTACTTCTTTTTGTCTCCTGTCTGGTGAAAATCACAAAACTCTAAATGTACTAAAATACACATGAATCAAAGCAACAAACCAGATTTAAAAAATATACATATTAACATGTAAGGAGATGCACAAAAAACTGATTGATCAAATCATCCAAAACTGAAGCAGCTAAAGAACAAAACAGTTAAAAAGGTTAGCAAGCAGGCCTACCTATAAGAATAGCAAAACTGTAACTCAAAAACAGAATTAGCAAAAGGCTAGATCAAAGATAAAAGTACTTGCAGTTAAAAGCTAAAAGTAGCAGAAGCAAAACGTTACCTAAAAGTTAGATGGTGTGCTACAACTAGCTAAAGACTAGCTGAAACCTACAAGTTCCAAAACGTTAGCTAAAAGCTACAACTAGCAGAACAGTAGCTAAAAATTAAAGGAGCAAAGAGCTAGCTAAACAGAACAATGGCTAGTTTAAAGCTGAGCAGAACGGTTGCTAAAACTTAAATGTTGCAAAAGATAAGCTAAATGCTGCAAGTATCAAAATGCTGGGTACAAGCAAAAAGTAACAGAACAGTAGCTACAAATTAAAAGTAGCACAAGAGGAAGAAGGTTAAGCAGATTTACAAAAGAACAAAGTTGATGAGAATTAGCGAGATCTGCGTGTTTCTTTGAGGAAACTATTTGAAAATAAAGTTGCAAAAACAAAAGTCAAAGCATCCATGCTGTAACGAGCTGAACGTTTTGATGCATGAACAGCTAAAATAGCTCAAAGTGTGCAGAGTCAGAACGGTGGCCCAGTTCTACTTCTTCTGGCCCAGAAGGAGAACCCACTGACCTAGGAAGGTTTGGACGGCGTGCAGAGCCTGCTGATCGGTCACCAGCTCCGATATGATTGTCACCTCGCCGCCCTGGCTGTAGTCGAAGGCTCGCTGACAAACTGTTTTTGCTCCGAGACATTTTGCCTCGCTGTGGCGAGACGAACAAAACGGTGACGGTGCGTTCAGGAACTTCAACAAAAAGATTAAATTAGTAAACATCCAACCTGGTGATATCCTCCAAAGTCACCACCTTCCCTGCCTTTACTGCAGCGTTGAAACAGTCAGCCCCCACTGTTTCCATGGCGATGACTGGTACGTCAATCCAGCCAACATCCTTCAGACCCTGGATGACCCCGCACAGGAGTCCCCCGCCTCCCACAGACAGCAGAACGGCACCCGGCTTCACTCCAGAGCCCAGAGAGGCCGAAATCTCAGAGATCAGAGTGGCATGGCCTTCCCTGTGAACGTTTGCAGAGATAAACCCAGAAATGTTTTTATTTTAAGGACACACTATGTAGAAACAAGTCACTTCCAAGTGTTTTCACCAGAGCAAGGGGTGATCGAAAGGAGGAACAAAGGTCAGGCCTTCAGTTTCTGCCAATCTGAGAGCTTCTGCGTTGGCGTTGTCCCAAACCTGAGAGAAAAACAGAAATGTGCACCTTTCTTCTCAGTAACTTATTTAATTATATTCCACCTCACCTTTCCACTAATCCTGACTGTAGCCCCCTGATCCTGGAGCCTCTGGACCACCAGCTGAGGAGACGACGAAGGAACCACAATGGTGGCAGGAACACCCATTTTCCTAGCGACATAAGCAGCAGCCAAACCTGCATTCCCGCCTGGAAAAACAACTGTCGACATCAAGCCAATGCAACACTAACGGTAAACGTGCAGCAAGAACGCGGAGTCTCAAGAGCTTTACTGAAGAGTCTAAAACTGAGCTGTCAAAGTTTAAAATAGCAGAAGACTAGCTAAAAGCACAAAATGCAACCGAAGTATAAAAAGTTTAAAATGCTAGCTAGAAGCTCAAATGATCCATATGCTAGCCAAAAAAAGCAAACTAGGTAAAAGTAACAAAATGCTTTGAGAAGCTAAAAACAACAAAAGCTAGGTAGAAAAAGTAGCAGATGACTATCTAAAAGATAAAGTAGTAAAATGCTTGAAAAAAAGTAGCAAAACAGTAGCTAGACATAATGAAAGGCTAGCTAGAAGTAGCTAATAGTGGCTAAAAATTATAGGTCAATGCTAGCTAAATGCTACCAAAAGCTAGCAAAACACTGGCTACAAGCTAAAACTAAAAAGTCTAGCCAGAAGCTAGAATGAGCAATGGACTATCTAACAGCCAAAGTAGTAAAAGGCTAGGTATAAGCTAAATGTAGCAAATACAAATAATTAAGCCTGAATAAAAGTATCGAAAACTGGGCAGATGATAAATGTGGTTAAAATGCTTATAGGCAAGCTAAAGTTAAACTAAGCCAAATCCAAGCTACAAGCTAAAAGTAACAAAACAAAAGATAAAAACATATAGGCTGGTAAAAACCAGCTGCAGAATGTTAAGCAAGAGCTATGGAACAGTAGCTGAAAGATAAAAGTAGATTGTGGCACAACGCTAAAAGTAGCTAAAGCTAGCTAAACAAGGCAAAACGTCAACTAAAAGCTAAATAAATCAAAAAGCTACCTGTAAGACAAAAAAGAAACAGTATCTGAAGCCGATATTAACAAGAATGTTTCTGAAGGGATCTAAATGTATTTTAATAGTGAAAGTATTTGTAAATAAAGTAAATAATTTGAAAACTGTAAAAGTTACAAACGTAGCAAACTTCTGGATGGTACCTGAAGAACAGACGATACCTTTGGACCGCCTGGCGAGCTGAAACAACACATCAAACAGTCATCATCTGACATTGCACATCCAGACAGGCTTATGACAGATTCTCGGGGCTCCCACCTGCTGGCACAGGTGTCCGATACCCCGGATCTTAAAGGAACCGGAGGGCTGGGAGTTCTCCATCTTCAAATAAACTGTGGACCCCAGCAGCTTAGACATGCTGACACTCTCCAGGAGAGGTGTGTTTAGGTGGAAATGTTCCGGCATGTTGACAAAAACCTGTCTGCTAACAAAAAATGTAAATAAAATAAAATAAGAATCTAACCGATTAGGCTTCAAGTGTTTTAAAACAAGGTTCTAATCGGTGATTGATGACGTCAGCGCTATACGTGAGGCCGGTGTCACCTTCAAATACAACTGAAAATGCAGGAAAGTAGAAACTCGTAAATTTGGTTTATTGACGATGCCTAAAAAGAAAAAGAAGTCTCAAAATACCGCCAATGTATTCACATATGAAAAGTGATAAGCATTAGATATGTATCGTTGTGTTAAATTTGCATATATTAAAGGCCATAGCAAGAAAACGACACGTTTAGCACAAACCAACGTGCAAAAGTCGAAATATTAAACGTAAAAAGTGTTTACTTACATTCGGTGAAATGGCAGATTTGAAAGAACGTTTAAATTAATGGTGATGTTTTGTTGTATGTGTGAAATATCAGTTTTATATTTTTACTGTAACGTAGCGGGTAGCTAAAGTGACCGTAGATACAAACACTTCCGATGAGACCTTCACAATAAGACAATACGCTTTCTTTTCACACATTTAAAAAATAATTTAGACAATTTTAGGTATATTTTACTTATTAGTAATACTAATAATATTAGTACAAATATCATATCAATAATAAAGTGGATTTAGCTGTAGACACAACTGTTGCCCAAAATGTTTGTTTTATTTTGAAATATTTTCGGTTGGTTTCCTGTTATTTTCAGAAGCTTTATCCATTATGGTCTTACTGTAACAGCTTGTAAACGAACTTTTACATTTCTAAAACAAATGTTCATATTCTCTAGTAAACACTGTTTTTACCCTTACGGTGTTGTAGATTTTAAAGAACATAATCTTACCCGCTGAGCAGTTTATGTCGGTGCTGAGCCCTGAAAGAAAACTGAACTTTAAATTTCCATCTAAAGTCCAGTTTTTATTACCATGCCCCCTATCACTGTTTGTTATTAACCAAGGAAAAGTGACGTAGGGAGAAGGTATACAGTATTAGGTATATTCAGTCAATCTTTATTTATACAGGTTATAAAGCTTGTTTTCATTCCCCATGCTCTTCTTTTTCCCTTGTATATTTAGTTTAATCATTTATGAAACCTGGTCTAATCTGACAACAAGCCATGCATCTTTAACAATCTTGTTTTTCCTTTAAGGTTTCCAACCTTTTAAAGTAGTCTAACGTCAATATACTTTTAAATACTTACAAATCTTATCCATTTTCTACTTTTATCGTGTTTACAGTTTTTTGTTTTTGTGTCACAAATCCGGGGGAGTCACAGCATTGGTTCTTTGCACAGATTATACTTTTATTAATTTTATTATTGTACATTTATAGTTACAGTTTTCATATACAGTACAGTAATGGTGTGTACAGCATGAGTTCAAGAAGCTGAAAACCAGCCCGTACACCAGATGGCAGCAGTTAGTCACATCAGCACTGACAGAAACAAAAGAATAATAATAAAAATAAAAATACTGTTATAAATAATAAAAATAATGATAAGGAAATAAAACATTTTATACAACTACTGACTGATGCTGCTGAAAAAGTTTAAACACTGAGCTTTTAGCTCATGTTTCAGAGTTACCGTTTCTTCAGTTTAAACTTAATCTAAAACTTGTTTTCTGAACACACACACACACACACACACACACACTTCCTCTCCCCCTCCTTTCTGTTTTACCAGCAGCAAACATTCGAACAAATGTTGACACGTCAGCTTGAACCAAGTCATCTGGTAACGATTTCCAGATGCTTTTTTTTTTTACATCGGGGTGTGAAATCAGAGCCGTAATATTCCTCTGATCTGACACCAAGTCTTATGTCGGGTGACCTCAGAAACCACATGCCAGTTTTGTGTTTTCACCTCTCCTGCGGCTCCAACTTTCCTCTCTCCATCTTCACTTTCGCTTTTCGTTCTTTCTTTTACCCGATCTAAACAGTAAACTTTAGATTCCTTCTGTTAATGAAAGCATTTAACGATCAGTAACCGGTACAACTTCAAACGCTGCGGTGTTTTCACGTCACTAAAGCCGAGCTTGAAGCTACATCTGAAAATGATTTTTTTAACAGTGCCTCTCATGCTGCTTGTAAAGTTGTCGAGCTGTTAAAAGGTTTTAATGAAGCTCCAGGCAGGTGGAGATTTTTTTTTTCTGCTGCATCCTGACAACCAATAATAAAGTGGCTCAAAAGTTGCCTCCTCGTTTTTACAGTTCCTCTGCTTCATGAAGGCCTCCACCCTTTTCTTCTGTCTTTAGTGACTTCCTCCTCCTCCTCTTCCTCCAGATCCGGGCTTTATGCCAGAGAGCGTTGTCTGGGTTTGATCCTTGGATACAGCTGCAGAGACACAAACACACCGAGTCACATCGTCTAAACTTTCTCCAGATGCTCCAACATCACCGAGGAGACGAGACGCTGCATAAAAATAAACCTTCTGCTTTGTTTTTGTTTCTTTGAAGGAGACAGTCATAACGTTGTTTCTTTTTATGTATATGTCAGTGTTAATTTTCATAATCTAAGTAAGAGACTTGAGCTACTACGAGCCAAAAGAAACTAAAAAAACTGCAAAACTGCCGAGTTCGGAATGACTTTGTTGAAATATTGGATATTAAATTAAAACAAGCCGAAGCTCAACTCAACCAAACTAAAGCTAAAAACTAAAATCAGCAAAACCATAACTAAGATATAAAATTAATAAAATGCTGAGAAATGGCTAAAAGCTAACAATAGCCAAAACTAAACCTAAAAATAAAAAATAGAACAGAAGCTAAAAGCTACAAGTTACAAAACTGAAGAAAAAAGTTCAAATTAGCTAAACTAACTACCGTAAAAGCTAAAATTAGAAAGACAGAAAGCTAACATAGAAATAATAAAACAATAGCTAAAAACTAAAAGCTCAAAACATAATGTATCAAAAAAACATAGCTAAAAGCATAACTTTGCAAAACTGAAGCTATAATTTACAATTAGCTAAAACCCTAAAATAGCAAAACAGAAACTAAAAGCTAAAAGGGGCATAAGACAAAAACAAGTTTGCTCAAGTATATCTTAAAGAGGACAATGTTTTTGGAGTGAATGAAGAGATTTCTGTGTATTTCTATGGGATGTTTGTAAATAAAGTTACGTAATTAAAAATGATAAAAGTAACAATCAAACAAAAAGTCATAGCACATCATTTCAGATTGAGCAGAATGTGTTGATATATGATTGGTAAAAATTGCACAAAGCATGCAGAAACTGTTCGATTGCATAAAAAGTTTTGAAGAAACTGTAAATAAGTGGAATCGGCATTTCCACAACTAAAGGACAAAGCTTGGACCTTCATGTTTCACAACTCCATGGCTAATTTCAAACAGACATGAGAAATTGCCCAAATAAGTTCTTTAGTATTTACAGAAACCTATTCAACCTTGCTGTTTACAACAGCACCTGAATGCATCACAGAAAACCGACGCTAGATGCTGAACTCTGAAATAAAGTTCATCCACAGTGTTCATGTCTGTGTTGACTCACCCCCAGCAGATTTCTGGGTATGTATCCCTCGCGGTTGTTCAGCCTCGCCCACCACCACTCTGTCTCAACGTCATCGTGGCGACGCAGCACCGTAACGGCGTCGCCCTCGCCGAAGGAGAGCTCGTCAGCCCGCTGAGCTGTGTAGTCCCACAGAGCATAGACCAAACCTTTGTTCATCACGCCCAACTTTTCTTGAACACCTGCAAGAAACAAACAAAAAAAAAAGATAAACTCGGGGCGAATCCCTCCATCGTGGCGCAGCGTGCTAATGAGTTCGGCTGCGTTCGATACCAACCGTAGAGGAACTGAGAACACTGGGTGTAACCTTCCTCCATTTCTTCACATTTGTCTGCCGCAGTTTCTACATCGCTGATCGTTGTGGCAAAAATGGCCGCTCCAGACTCGACCAGCATCTTGCAGAGATGGACGCTGTTACACGAAGCCGCACAGTGAAGAGGAGTCCTGCAGAGATGAGGAAGAGAAGAATAAGAACACTTCATCTTGAACCTGACTGTTAATTTAAAAACTCAGTGGTTCTGACAGTGCCGAGCTCTGCACCGCGGCTACTGAGCGCGCTCATTACTTCAACTCCTTGCAGCCAATCAGCAGCCTTGGCTCCGTTATAAATGTTAATATGATTATTATAATAACAACTGACCAGCCGTCGCTGTCTGCTGCGTTTACATTGACCCCAAAGTCCAGCAGGAACTTCACGATGTGGTGATGACCAGCGCAGACGGCGTTATGAAGAGGAGTTATGCCTTCATCGTTGGGCATACTGGGGTTTTCCACCTGAAAGAGAAACATTTTTTTTTTAATTAAACACAAATTTTACAACAAAAGTAAAGTCAGTGAAACAGGATTTTGGTGTTAGATAAATAACTTAGTTTTGACTAGAATTAACTTGCAAACAGTCAAACAACAGTAATCAATATGCAATAATGAAACTTATTTTGAAGTACAAGTACTATAAATGTCACCTCATAAATGATCCTCTGCACCAGATCAAACTCTCCTTCTAAAGAAGCATCCAGCAGCAGAGCCAGAGGGTTGAACTTGACTCTCAGCCCGTGGCCGGTCCGCTCCGATGACGGCTTCTTCAGGTTGCTTCTCTTCGCCTGCAAAGAAAAACAGGAAGTGTTTAAAATGCAGAGCAGGAAGAGATTTCTCCCTGATATAAAAATATGATGGATGGTTTTAAAGGGGGTATACCCATACCTTAGGCAGTGGAGGAGGGGCAGAAGGTGATGGAGAGGCATGGCCTGCTGAGGTCTGGGCGGGGCTTGTTCTCCTCTGGTTATTGTTGTGGTCATCCGGCCTCACAGGCGCAGGAGTTGGACTAGGCTGAGTTGATGGAGGCGCGATGTTTGTACTCTCTGGTGCTGATGCGTTTTCTTTGGGCGTTTCCGTGGGAACTGAGGGAGGAGATGAACGGCGGGAATCTTCAGCCTCCACGGCCGCTAAGCTGACCTTCTTCTCACTGGTTTCAACATTCCCATTGGCTGAACTGATGTCCATGTCTCCCAAAAGGCAGTCAGGCTGGTAGAAAGGGTTACCTGTGAAATAATAATAAGGGAACGTAAACACACGCTTGATCGTTTTTACTCGTTAAAGTCACATGAGCATCATGTCTCACCTGAGCCTCCCTCCATACCTCCTGCCAACGTGTTGAACCTGCACATCACAACAGTTTATGTTTTTACTTCAGTTTGACACAAACACACAAAACCTAATTTGTTTCACTGCTGGAGTAAACAACAACAACAACAACAAAAACAAGTTGCTAACCTCTGATAGAGCAGTTTCTGAATGTTCGGCCCCGTTGGGCACTCGGGTTCAGTGATTGAGCTCCGTTTCTTCAGGGGCCGTGGAGCATTGCTGAGGCGCCGGCGCAGAACTTCCAGATCCACATCGCTCTGGTATCGTAACTGGGAGTGAGCTGTGGAAACGAGACACCCAAAAAAACTTTACAGGAAAGGTTCAAACTAACAAAACCGTCTTCTGCTTCATGCTTGTTATTCATTTCTGTTCACAAAACAGCATCATGGACAAAAAGACAAACATTTGAATTTTGTTGGATAGATTTTCACAAACGCAGCGTTACAGCATTTATACATATCCAGAGACGAGTTATTTAATATGTTTATGATCCAGGAGACGACCTCTATGTAAATCAACTTAAAGATTAAAGTTTGAACTCTGTGATGGTCCATCACTGAATAAAACATCTTCTCATCCTCCCTGAACCACTTTTTCCACAATTTGAGCCAGATGAATCTTGGAATTATCCTGTCCCAAAAGCCCTATGAAAAAACCTGCTCATTCAGTATAAACCGATACTCAGCTGACTCTGCTTTTGGATCCGAATGCTCCTGAACCTCAGCCGGATCAATGGGAGCAACTCAGAATCAAAACACAGCCCTCTACAGGCGTGTGCAGCCGGCACAATGCATGATGGGAGCATCACTTCATCTGCTGCACCCCTTAACTTGAGAATCTGGACTCATCAGAACCAAAGGGTCCAAACTTCAGTCCAGTTTGCACAATAAAACATTTCGTCCCCAAATAACTTCACTGATGAGTTGCCTCGAGTTCTACTGTTAATAATTTATCATCACTGATTAAAATTTATCTTTTATCAGTTTATTTAGTAAACTTTAATCAGTGAGTTATTTTGACCAAGCGGTTATGATGTCCAGGTATTTAAATGTAAATACAATATTCAGAAACATTTGTTTATCCTGATGGTTTCTGTCCGGTGTGAACCTACCCATCGGTGTGAGCTTGGTAGGACTGAGGGGACGGGGGATGTTGTCCACGTTAGGTGGAGGAGGAACTTGTCCATCACTGTTTCCTCCTCCTTCCTTTCTTCCTTCTTTATCTTTACCTTCCTCCCCCGCTGCCTTCACGCCTCCTCCTCCTTGGAGGAAAGGGACGGGGGATGGAGACGAGGAGGAGGTGGGCAGGATGGGTTTACCGTAGACTGAGGAGACAACAAAGGGAGGCGATGACTTGTTTTTTGTGTAATAAGATATTTAATGTGAACACGCAGCAGAGTTTAAATTGATTTTTTTACCTGCTTTGACGGCCGTTCTGTTGCTCAAAGATCCGTAGTTTTTGGCCTGAGGCTGTTGAAGGTACATGCTGTAGATTGAGCTGCTGTTCATAGTGGGGGGGCCCTTCCTGGGTGACTGCGGCCTGGAGGGGTGGTCCGGGACATAGGGACGTACGGCCACAGCTGGAGGGGGGTCTGTGCGCTCAGTTTGAGGGGGTTGAGAGGAGGTGGCAGAACCTATATGCAGAAACAGAAAGTTTACAATCAATAAAAAACATAAAACAAACAAACAAAAACAAAGACAAACAACAGGATGGATCACCTTGGCTTGTGTTAGGAGGGACAGAAATACGCTGCTGTATTTGCTGTGAGGAGGAAGAGGATGATGAAGAGGTTGGTGTGGATCTGGGCCAGCCCAAAGTGCCAGGGGCAGAGCGCGGCAGCGAGCTTGTGGCACAGTGATGCCCCGCTGCCTGATGGGAGGTGCTGGGGTAGGTCCCATAACCAGAGGGAAGCTGCATGGGAGGAAACAGAACCAGATTTTTAACCAACGAGGGCTTCATGAGGACAATTTAACATCAAACGTCCACGTTATTTATAACAATTAGAATATTCTGTGTGGTGCAGAAACAGAACCTGTTCCGGACTGCAGGTCTTCCAGTCTGGTCCACTTTTGCTAATCTTTGGCCACGATGCTTCATTGGCTGAACAGGAAGACAAAAATGAGGAAAAAGGAGTCGAGTTTAAAACATAAAATGCTCTCAAGAAGCAGCAAACCAACGCAAATGCAGAGGAAGTTCTATAACTGATAAGATCGGGTGAAAAACAGTGAGAAGTCAGAAAGATAGAGAAGGAAAGACGGTAAAAACGAAATGTCAAAGAAAGATCTGGACGCTCACATGCTGCTTGAATATGATTCAAATTAGCAGCAATTTACATGTTAGCATTAGCAAAGCAAACTTATACGAAATGACTCAGACTTGGCTACATGCGCATCCAGTTATCATATCTGTATTATTTGTAAAATATCCCTTGTTTTCTGGTTATGTTTTATTTGAGCTGATATATTTGTCCTTCAGCTCAACAAACACTGTAAACAAACTAAAAAAAAAAAAAACTGTTAAAAGTACGAGCAGGTTTGACATCAGATTGCAGTTATCTTATCTGATATTAGACGCTGTTCAAAACGTTGGTTAACATGAAAAACAAACTAAAAATACAAAACAAAAAAGAACGCAGCAGCTCTGAAGGTTCGAAACTTATTTAGCAGATTTAAACAGCGCTCGTTACAAGGATGAGAAAATCAGGCGATCGTAAAACGTTTTTCAAACAGCTAATCGGAAGGTGCACAGCCTCGCTGCTGATGCCAAAGTTCCATTTTCAACCACTGCTTAGCCATCTGCAGGACGACAGCTGCACAACGCCGTGGTCCCTCCACATACCAGACCAGTACTGAGCATAGCAGTTCTGCAGAGAGCTGCCACTTTAACCTGCTGACCCCAGGAAGCAAACAGTCACGACAGGAAACCAGCAGTCAGCTTTGTGCGAGGTGGAAACTTGGCTTTCAGCCCGACAGCTCAGATTAGAAGCAGCCTGTGAATTGTACGAGGACAGAGAGAGGACACAGAGCGTCCCCGTGCAAAGGACAAAAGGAGAACTCAGATTAAGAGAATCTCAAACTTGTCTTTTAGGTATCGTCCAGTGTCTCAGTAAGTCATCAAGTGATTTTTCGGGTGTTTTGCACTAAAACAAAAGTGGATAAATCATTAATATATGTTTAAAGATGAATAAGGTTTGTCTCCACAGGTTAATCAGCTGCAGACAAACATCAGATTATTATTTTCTGAAAGGTTTATTAATGTTTGTCCAGTGCTTCATGAGATATTACGGTAAGAAACACACGTATCGTCCACCTCTGCCTTCTGGTGGTGGGCGACAATAAATACTTGTAGTTTTCTGAACTTTTCTTCCTGGATTCTGATTCGCACAAACATTTTGTACAAGAGTTTTAAACCCATCACACGACATTAAAGCCTCCTGTTTTCTTTCTCGAACCACAAGACAAACTGTACAAAGCACCGACTTCCCTTCATTCATCTGCTGCTCCTCCCTGTGGCTGTGATTTACAACAATGATGTATTTTCCACATTACGTAAGGCTCAGTAATAAATAGAACGGTGGCATTCAGGAACACAATGAGGCTTGTAACAGTGCAGGTTAAAGACATTTTGGTTCAACTAGTACAAACGTTTTATGTTCTTTATTTTAAGGCTGATTGAAAATGATAGAGAAAGATGCTAAAATGATAAATTATTATTATTAAACATATTTATTGTCATAAACAGTTTCCTAAGATATTTTCTATCTATGAAACTGATCATCTTTATCATTAACCCCCACATTGTCCATTAACTTGATGACAAGTGTTTGTTAGAGGATGAATCAACCACTTTTAATAATTGCTTAAAAATACAGTTTTTTATAGGTTTGTCCACCATAAACTTGTTAAATCTTTTAGGTAAGCCCCTTAATAGCCTTTAGTTGTAAAAAGAAAATTTGACAAGTCTAAAATTTTTAGGAGCACTATGACTTTTAGTAGCAGTACAGTAGTCCCTCTCTACATCGCTGTTCGTTTATCGCGGACTTGCTCTATCATGGTTTTTCAAAATAAGATCGGACAAGACACAAAATTTTCTGATTGATGAATGAGCCGCATGATCGGCATGGAATTTTATTTAAAATAAATTATTTTAAATTATTTAGCACCTGCTGCACCTCTGTGCAGCCCACAATCAAGGATAAGCTTCCTCCTGCAGCTGATCAGCTGTTTTCCGTGCAGAGTGGGCGTGGCCAAGAACACTTGAAGGTGGCTGAGAGCAGCGGAGGCAGAGAAAGAGAAATCAGGACATTCTGTGCTCTTTTAGAGTGTTCAGAAACATTGTTTAGAATATTCCAATAGTGCGGGAAGGGTCTAAAACACCTTTATATATATATATATATATATATATATATATATATATATATATATAT